GCCATTTTGAATCGAATCGCTAAACTGCATGTGCATATGTACCACATAAGGTACTAGGCACATGCAAAGAATGAACGGAATCGGTCCGCAGGATTCTGAAATATGACTCTGGACAGACTGACGAACGGACACATGGACGGACGGACAGACTCAGGAACTCACGGACGGTTGGGGACATGTATCGGATCCTAACATGTATGATCTATGTACTAAATTTGAATGAAAACTGACAAAGCATGTCCAAATACAACATTTTCAAAAAACAAGATGGCTGCCAGTCGGCTATCTTTGATCCAATTGTGAAATAAATCGTCATGGACATGTATCCTAACATGTATAATCTATGTACCAAGTTTGAATGAAAACTGACAAAGCATGTCCAAAATACAACATTTTCAAAAAACAAGATGGCTGCCAGTCATCCATTTTGAATTGAATTGCTAAACCACTGCATGTGCATATGTATGATCTATGTACTAAATTTGAACGAAAACTGACAAAGCATGTCCAAAATACGACATTTTCAAAAAACAAGATGGCTGCCAGTCGGCCATCTTTGATCCAATTGTGAAATAAATCATAATGGACATGTATTCTAACATGTATAATCTATGTACCAAGTTTGAATGAAAACTGACAAAGCATGTCCAAAATACAACATTTTCAAAAAACAAGATGGCTGCCAGTCGGCCATTTTGAATCGAATCGCTAAACCACTGTATGTGCATATGTCCCACATAAAGTACTAGGCACATGCAAAGAATGAACGGAATCGGTCCAAGGGATTCTGAGATATGACTCTGGACGAACGGACGCACGAACGCACAGACGCACAGATGCATGGACGAAGACCGAATTATAAGTCCCCATTTTCGGACTTCGTCCGAACGGGGACTAATAAATGATAAACTAGATGTTTTATATTCTGCTGCTATCGGATTATATGACAACCCAAAATGTTCTTGTGGCATTGGTCTTACATGACAATATATCTACGTTGCACATTATATATAATGAATATTGTTCTGTTTTAGCCTACATGCATATACATTCAACATTTCTTTTGCAGGAACTTACCTTTATTTCGACGCTTCCAATATTGAGCAAGGTACGAGTGCTGCTTTTTACAGCGAGCCTTTTCAAATGAAACAGACAGAGAGTATGTGTATCAATTTCTGGTATCATATGTATGGAGCTTCAGTTGGTGAACTTATATTACAACAAATATTATCGAATGGTGACGTCATTGATTTATGGACAATGAGTGGTGACCAAGGCAACAGATGGTTACCTGGAAGAGTTGAATACTCCCAGACACAGGATTACTATGTGAGTATTAAAATTGAGACCAAATTATGGTTTTCATTTTGCTACTGTGAAAATACATTATTTTATTGTGCACGTAATTTTGCAATTCACTAAATTCCACTAAAACAAATGATTTGACATTATTTCCATCTGTGAACCAGTCAAAATTGGCCAAACGCAAATATAGAAGAGAAGATCTGATTTCGTCAGAGAATAGAATACTATTGGGTTTGCAAAACAAGTTTCGTGGCTCGTTTGCTATCAACAATACCTAGGTGACCATTTGTAAGGTCTATTAGAACATATTCTATTTTGTGTATACATTAATTTATGATCATATTTCATTTCTAGTTGAATTTCAATGCTTCGAGGAGCTTTGGACCATGGGGGGATATATGTATAGATGATATAGTACTGACTACAGGAACGTGTTTGCGTAAGTCTCTCTCAGTATTTTCATCTCTCAAGTGTTTATCTCCCCCCTCTCTTTCCCTTCCTCCCTCCTCCACCTTCTCTGTTTCTCTGTTATATATATTGTCAGAAAAGTATAGTATTCAACGAATACAACCGATATTCATATTAGATATGTTTTATCAATCAGGTATTATCGAAAGCTGTACATTTGAAAGCGATATATGTGGATGGGTGAACGCCAATAATGACGACTTTGACTGGATCCGACAACAAAGCGACACACAGACACCACATACCGGGCCAACAGGAGACCATACTATTGGAGGTACAGTACTTATAAACATACCATATGTAAGGGAGCCTATCTTACGTGTATGCAAACTTATGTCGCAAAATGACAAGCCATTTCACAGTATTTCGTATGCTTGTCACGTAGTGGTAGATTTGGACAACGACAGTAGACCGTATGTCGTACACACGTGAATGAAAATACTACATGATACTTGAAGCCACGTAAAATCCATGTTTTTAAGTCATACAATTACAACACTAGAGGTTGACAAGTTCTAAAACCCGCTCTACACATACAGACAGACACAGTAACAATCGAACCCCCCCCCCTTTTTTTATCTTCAGCAAATGGTTGGTTTGTTTACATTGACAATACTTTGGCCGGCAAAAGAGGTGATCTAGCCAGGTTCATCAGTCCTGATGTAGATTTCGACGCTAATCAGCCTAAGTGTTTAACATTTTGGTACGTACACACTATACATAGTTTAATTAATTTATAATTATGATGTTAAGCAAGGGTACGTAACTATGGTGATGTTTACATCATGATGTTTCAAATGAAATGCAGTAAAGCTTAGTTTGGGG